CCCCCCCCCCCCCAAATCTCCCTCTTCCCCGTCGCCCCTTGCCAGTCCCATCCAAGTACCGGGACAACCCGTCACCAAAGTCGGGGGCCGCGGGCAAGGCTGCGCGCGAGCGAGCGCGGGCGCGGGCGCGGGCATCCACGGGAGAAGCCGGTCTTCCTTCGGCGAGCTGCGGGAGCGGAGGCGGCGGGAGCGGAGGCGGCAGCCGCGGGCGAGGAAGGCCAACGAGAAGGGCCAACGCCGGCGCGAGTAGAGGGGGGGCGGCGGCGGGGGGGGCGTTTACGGAGGTGGCACCGACATCATCGCCGTGGCCGAACGACGACGACGGCAACGGTGCGATTGTCCCCTCCGCTCAGCTACCGCCACCGCCACTGCCTCCTCAGCAGCCGTTCGTTGTCGGAGACCTCGTGCTGGTGGAGTCCCGCACGTGGCCGGGCATGAACAAGCACGGGGGGGTGGGCTTGGTCGTCGCGGTGCTGGACCCGCCCGGCTCCCGCTATGACGTTAAGTACACGGTCGGTAACAAGACCGACCGCGGAATCGAGGCGCGATTCGTCCACGCCCACGCCTTCCCGGAGGAGACCGTCGGGAGCCGGTCGCGCCGTGGCGGCGCCGCCGGCGCCGGCGATACGCGCGCAAGGCGGCGCTCAGGAGGACGCGGCGGCAAGAGCGGCAGCGTTTCCCCTAGGGGGAGGTCGCCAGTGATTGGCCCCGCCGCCGCCGCCGCGGGCGGTGCGAAGCCTACCGGAAGCAGCCGCAGTGGCGTTGTTGCCCTCGACTCCACCACGGCCGCTGCTCTGCTGCCGCAACGGGCACCGTCTCGAACTCCCATCTGCGATGGCGGTGGAGCCGCCGAAGAGGACGGCCCCGAGAGGGATCGGGCCCCGGGTGTGGCTGCTCCTGTTGCGCTTGCGGCGACGTCTACCACTTCACGCGCTTCTTCTGCGCCCGCGGGTTCCCCTCCTGCCGGTACTGGCGATGATTCGGCGGGAAGCAGAGGAGAGGAGGGACGTGGAGCAGATGCTCGACATCGAGACGGTGCCGACGACGAGCATGGCCACAACGATGCTAGAGAGGGTTCGTGTCACTCAGATAAGGCATCGTCTGAAAACGGCGGTGGGGAGGGCTTAGGGGAGGAAGACTCCGAAAACAGCCATGATATTGACGATGAGATCAGCGACGACGACGACAACGACAACGACTCAGACTACGAAGATCTCGACAACACCGCCCCACACCCGAGAGAGAAAGGAGGAGGAGATTGCGAGGAGGATGGTCGTAGTCAGGAGGAGGGAGAAGGAAAACAAGTAGAGGGCGGCGACGGATCTGAGGCAAACCCTGTAGAGCTGCTGCTGTCTCCCCCCGAGAGGGAAGAGAGCGAGCGAGAGCAAGAAGAGCGAAGGAAGACTGACGTTGGCAGCAGTAGCGACAGAGCAGTACCGCTATCGCCGCCGGCTAGCATCACCGGGGGCTCAACGGAAGAAACCGTGCCCCCACTTTCACCCACGTCTCGGCAGAATCTCCCGTGGCGCTCGCGGGGGGGTGCCGCCGGACCCGACGGCGCGGGGCACCGTGGGCGGCGAGATCCTCCCCTCCCCCCGCCCCCGCCCCCGCCCTTGTCGAGCGACTGCGGCGCGGGAGATCCGACGACGCTCACAAGCGCTGCGGAAGGGCTGGTGGCGCTAGCTTCGACCGGCAACCGCGGCGGCGGCAGCTGCACCCCGCCGGCAGGCGATGTCCAGGAAGACGCAGAGGAAGACTCGAGGATGGACGATGTCGGGGTGGACGACCACCGCGAAGGGGACACGCCGACAACAACGCCGGTGTCGCACCAGGCACCGAGAAACCCCCCCTCATTAGGTCAAACCAGCAGCAGCGGCGGCCATGAATTTGCGCCGGTTAGGAAAGGGCCCCCCGTTTCGCTTGCCGCCGCCGCCGCCACCGCCCCCGCTGCGCTCGAGACCGCGGAGGCCTTGCTCTCGATGTCCCCTTCCGTGCGCCACGGTGGTGGTTCTCTCGAGCATCACCGCGATGGCGGCGCACCTCCCGTTCGACCGACGAGTAGCGTCAGCAGGCGGGACGGTGATGACGTCGCCGTTGCCGTCGGTGGTGGTGGTGGTGGTGGTGTCTCGAAACCGCCGGTACCTCCCGCACAAGAAGAAGCCAAGGAAGAAGAGCGTGGAGCTTGTGATGACCCCGTGGGCACTCCGAACAGCACGGCATCATTGTCCCGGCGGCTCGGACCCGGAAGCCCCTCATCAGCGACCGGCTTGCTACGGACAACGCGGCGGGCAATGCCACCGCCGCCGCCGCCGCCGCCGCCGCCGCCGCCGCCGCCGCCGGCGTCCTACCGCTCCCCGACCTTGGCGCGACCTCCGAACGCGTCGTCGTCGTCGTCGACGCCTCCTCCTCCTGGCCCGTTGCCGTCGCAAACGCCTCCGGCGGCGGCGGCGGCGGCGGCGGCGGCGGCGCGGCCGCCCGCCACCCCGTCGTTCAAGGCGGGCGATTTGGTCAGCGTACCCTCCCGCTCCTCCCCCGGGGTTAACAAGGAAGGCGGCGTGGCAAAGGTGACGCTCGTCCGCCCGAACGGGACGTGCGACGTCAAGTACATCGTGCACCATGGCAGGGAGAAAGGCGTGCCGGCCGGCATCATTTCCTTCTATGCGGTGGATGACGACGACAACGACGAGGAGAGCACCAGCGCTGGTCGTGGTGGCGGCGACGGTAGGCGCGAACGCGGGGGAGGGGGGCGGGGTGCCGTTGCCGCCGGTTACTCGGGGTCTTCGTCGCGGTCTTCTACGCCGGCGTCGAAGGGGGCGCCGTCGTCGTCGTCGCGCGTGCGCAGGACGTCTCGCAAGGGGTGGTGCTCGCCGGACCTGGCTGCCGGCCAGGCCTACGCGGCTTGCCTCAGCTACATGCTCGGGGAGACCCAGCACCCGGAGCTAGACCTGGACCCTGACCTCGGCGAGCTGCTTGACCCGAACGAGGGTAGCAGCCGCGCCGGCAGCGCCGGCGACGGTGGCGGCGGCAAGGTAGATGAGAGTCCGGGGGGGGAGGACGGAGCTTCGGCGGCGGCGGCGGCGGCAATGGCGGCGGAAGAAGGGGCAAAGGAAGGCGATGACGGCGTCACCGTCGTAGTATCGGACCGGGGAGTTGGAAGCAGCGGCGGCGAGGGGGGGCAAGGAAGCGTAAAAGGCGTCGTCGGCAAGAGGAAGCGCATAGCGCGTGGTGGTGGTGTTGACGACGACGACACCACCCGGGGTGATAGAGGCAGAAATGAGCGGCAAGCCTCTGACGGTGTTGAGGGAGGACCTTCGCAAGGGCAAGGGCGCCGCCACCGCCGCCGTCGCCGCCGCCGCAGCAGCAGCGCCAACGAAGGCAGCGAAGGCATGGAGGTTTTCGATATTTCGGCCTCGAGCGCGGGGTCGAACAGCGGGGACAATGGCATGGCGCTCTTGACGACGGCGCCACCACTTGATTACGAAGGTCGGGGCGGCGGCGACAGCCACGATGTTTTCGATATTACGGCCCTTAGCGATGAGACGAACAGCGGGGACAATGCTGCGGCGCCGTTGCCGGCGGCGGCGGTCGACTCTAACATTCATGGTGGTGGTGGTAGCAGTGGATCTCGATCGCGTGGGCGTGCTGCCGCTCCTCCTACTGCTGCTGTAAGGAAGCGTTGCAGGCCGTCTGGTAGTGAATCGGCGGAGGTTGACGGTCGACCGGTGACCTCGGGCAAGGGGAAGGGCAAGACCGTAAAGGCAGGACGCAGCAGCAGCGGCGGCGGCGGCGGCGGCGGCGGCGGCCGTAGCGGTGTTGATGGTCGCGGCGATGGTGGTGGTCTTCAAGGAGCATGCGCAAACGGACGGCGTGGCCTAGCAACGTCGGCAGCGGCGGTGGCGGAGGAGGACGGGGCGGTGGTGCTGACCATGAGCGGCTCCACGAGCGAGACGTCGAAGCTGGCGGACTCGTTGGCGAAGCGGTGAGGCAGGCGGCGACTGGGGGGTCGGCGATGAAATGACCCTGTTGCGAAATGAACCGTTCTCTCGGCACTCAAAGGAAAACCCTGAATCAAACAACAATTGGAAGACATGTCTTTTATTCGTTAGTCCAAGCGCGTTGTTGGTACGCCGCCCCCGCCCTCCCCCCTCCCCCCTCCCCGACTTCGCCCACATAAGCCTCGGGTGGCAAGTGGAGCCCAAGTACACGGAGGCCGTTACCCACGTCGTGTGCGGCACGGTGCCGAAGACCGCCAAGGCCAGGGTCCGAAGCGTCAAGTTCCTCAGGGCGGTGGCCGGCGGCAAGTGGGTCGTCACCGAGGCCTGGCTGCAGGAGTGCAGGCGACGGGGGTGCCGGGCGGAGGAAGAGGCGTTCGAGGTGACCGGGGACAAGAAGAGTCACGTCCCCTCCGCTCCGACACGGTCGAGGCTGGCCCACGCGGATGTGGTAAGCCGTTGTGTGTGTGTGTGTTTTTTTGTGTCTTGGGGTATTGGCATGGACCAACCGCGCTATATGTGCGCAGGCTGGATAGATTATGAAGGTGATGAGAGGCATTTTCCGGTACAAGGAGAGTTCCTTGACGAGTTACTCCTTTGTTATTTTTTGCAAGCGTTGGTTGTTACGTCGGCCGGCTGACCTTCAGCAAGCACGCTCACGTGCGGATGTATGTAAGAGATGCGATCATCAGAACGGGTCCAAGAAATGGAATTCGCTCACAACCCCAACATGCGGAGCACGCGCTCTCCGAAACCATGTGGCCGACAAGCATGTCGGAGCACACCTCGCTTTAGGTCGTGACACGCCATTATCGCTTCACACACTACTACCACACGAACGCACCCATATGCGCATGGGCTCTCTGGGCCACCGCCAACGCCTCCAACAACACGTTTTTCCTTTTCCTTCCCGCGCTGCGTCCATACTATTGCGTCCCCAAAACCGAAAGTTAAACCTAAAACGAAAAACAAACCACACACATGCGTTCTGCATTATTGTGTACTAGGATTGACTTTTTTTGTTGTAGGCAGTGCTGCTGTGATATCATCGGCTAATGTGATCGTTCCCCCACCCCGCTGCTCCGATTCGGACATCGGTGACACATCTCTCTGCTGTTTTGCCATCAGGATCGGCCGGGCCTCTTCCAGGGCATCACGTTCCACTTCCGGGGGCAGTTCGGGACCACGGGGTCTCCCCCGCTCTCCGATCTAGAGTCCATGCTGCTCGCCAACGCCGGAAAGGTGGTGAGCACGCTCGGGTCCCTCTGCGGCGCGCGATCGACCGCAGTCGGCTCCAGCAGCGGCGGCGGCGGCGGTGGCGGCAGCGGTGGGTGGCGGCCGCGAAGGGTGGTGATCTTCCAGCCGTCCTCGCCCGACGAAGACCAGCGGGTGCTGGAGGAGAAAAAGCTGGCCGCCGCTCTCGCGGCAGAGACGGAGCTGTCGCGGCAGGGCTCAGAGAGCGCCCCCAGAGGCGGCGGTGGGTGTGGCCGGGACGACGGTGGGGTGGGGGTGGTGGTTGACGTCGTGAGGCCGATCTGGCTGGTGGACAGCGTGGGGTGTTTTAGGGTCTTGAAGCCGGCCGTGCATCATCGGGTTCCGGGCTTTGGTCTAGAGTGAAGTGAGAAGGCCGGGGTGTAGGTAAGGGGGTTGGCAGGGAGAGCTAGGGGAGTGAAAAGGGGGCATGCGTGTGGGCGAAAAGCAAGTGCACCTGAACGTGAGAGAAGAGTGTTCCGTGCTGCCTGCTGCTGTTCCTAGCCGGGTGCCAGTGTGAGCGGCAGCCGTCAGGGCGTGTGTAGCTGCATGATGCAACCTGTTTTTGCGGCTGTGCCGGTGGTTGACCCTACCTCTTGCTGGCCTTGCTTTGGTTTTGGTCGGCGGCGTGTTCACCATTTGCACACGGGTGTATCCCGATCCACGAATGATGACTGTTGCCAAAGAGTGCTTTCCGCGCATGTGTCTGGTGCGCGTGCTTCTCAATCTTCGGCTGTCTGCGGGTGTCTCGGAAGACCGCGGTTCGATTGATTGGTTTCTTTTCACAGGCCGGGCACTTCGAGCACACCGCACCCTGGTGTATCGTCTTGGTCGCTTGCCCGGTTTTGGGTGCTTTGAGCTTACGTAGCGTTGTGTTTTCCCCGTATTGCGCGACCGTTTGCAGCGATTGATTTCGGATGATCGATTCGCTGTGCAGCTGCAGCGGCAGCGGCAGCGGCGTCAGGAGGTTGGATTCCGGTAGATGCCATTTGCTCGCCTTGTTTCCATCGCGTGGAGATCGATTGCGACGACGACGACGCCGCCTTCCCAGCTATGTGCGTAGGATATGATGTCCAGCTCAACATTTGCAGATGTTCAGCAACTCGTCAACTCTTGCGTACCTCCCCGAAGACCCCAAAACCACCCCCGGGGAGTTGTTTTTGGTTGCCCTCCATGCGGACCCCTTTCCCCGCACACCTGATGTCTATGCGTAGAATTTCGTCCGTAACCTTGCCACGCTACATGTGTTGTCGGTTCCGGTAACAGATTAGACCAACCCTCTGTGCCCATATTTTCGGTGATTTTCGCTGGTCTCAGAACGCCCGACCACGTGGGGACCATTGGGTGGTGCGCTACAGCCAACGATAGGATAGCAATGCCAAGAAGATTACGATTGGCCCTCTGCATGCCCACAAGGAAAACACTATCATCCGTCTGTTTAGCTTCAGGAGACACGCGAGGACGAGGTCGCAGCCGCAAGTCAAACGATGTTGTGTGCGATTCTTCATGCCCGACCCCCCCAACAACCCTACCGTTGTCCGCCCACCTGTACACCCCGGTCAAAAAAATCTTTTTGTACATGTGATACAACACGAAAGCCCCCGACCTTGAGTCATTTGCGGTCATTTCGCGGTGGCATGCCTCTCACGTACGCATTGTACTACCGTCAAGACAACAACAACAACTACAACACCCGTCACCTCAACATCGATTTCGACAACCGCACATATAAAACGTAATCAAACATCATCGCCCATCGCTACCACCGCTTCCCGTCTGGTCCCCCGCGGCTGGTCGATCGTGACCCCCACCTTGTGTCCCCTGCAGCACCAGCTGCAACAGCAGTACATGCCGCCATAGCACCATCCACACTCTCAGGCCCATCCGCCGCGGCCACTATCGGACAACAATCGACTGTCGCTTACCACCGAATAGCTACTGCATAGATGAGGAACATGCCCTTCCTTGGCGCGATGGGCACAGACCATCTCTTACACCCGCCCCCTCCCTCGCCACCAAAATCGAATGCGGACGTTCCACCCCCGCACCAAGCAACCACGGCCTGTAGACGTACGTCACCATCGAGTCTAGACTACCGCAGGCCCGCGTCCGCTCGACCGTATTCGTTGGGTAGGGTCACCCGGTCGTCGCGGAGCGGGTCCAGCTCCGGCGCCAGCAGTCGGGTGTAGCGGTCGAAGTACAAGGCTTGCCTGTAATCGCGTGGGCACGAGCGGGAGGCGTGTTTGGGTGTACCATTGCATGCGTACAAATACACCGAGGGCACAGCGTGTTCTTCAGGTTTGGATTGTTTTGGGGGGGGCTGGGAGACGCCGAGTTTAGGTTGGGTTATACAGGTCGGGTAGGGTCGGCATTTGTTTAGGAGTTGCCGCGAAAATGAGTTGCGATCGATTGGGTTAAGTCGGTCGCATTGCCCCACCCTTGATCAAATTCGTTTCCAAAGAAGAGGAACAATCAAGAAAAATAATTGCACAATCGTCCCCCACGAAGCAGCCACGACTGACTGCTGCTGGACCTTCGCCCACGCGCAAAAGTCCGCGTCACGCCATACCCGTGTACCGAGTCGCATCACACAACCCCACACGATCCCCACGCCACGCCCCAAAGGCTACCACAAACGCCGTACACCCCTTCCAAGCTGAACGAACTCTTCCTCCCGTTTTACCGCGGTATTTTCGGGGCCCCACCCCTCTCTCACTTTATAAGCATCCCGAACTCCCTCGGAAGCTTGAGCCCGTTGTTCTCGGCCACTCCCACGATATCCAACAGAAGCCTAGTGATGGACTTTTTGGTTTTTCGTCATTGCAAAACAAGTGAAGCCGACGGGGGAGGGGGAGGGGGCAGGAGGCGCAGTCATGGTCTCGTTCAACTTTTTTCCCGTTTATCGCGTGTTGGTGATCGACCATTGATTTTTTGTGGGGGAATGGGGTCAACAGGTCTCGTTCAACCAGTTTGTTTTGGTCGACCTTGTTGAGTCTCGTTTCGCTTGAGTAAAGAAGACGGGGAACTCATTGGTGATAATCGATGTCATCATGAAAAAAAAAAAGTCTCATGCCGCCACGGCTGTCGCACTATCACATTGTCGTACATGTGCCAACCGTGCCTCCTTCATTACAAGAAACAATTGAACTGCACCCCACGCACACGTGGGAAAAAAAAAACGCACGCGTGTGACGTCCAATGCCAAATATACAACACAGCTGTTGAGACGAATAATGCCAGCGGCATTACTTGCGAAAAAACACGACGTCATACCGTACAAAACACAACGGCTCGCGCGCACACACGCACACTTCCAGGAACCTTGACTCTACCCTATGGCACTGACGTCTTTCCATTGGCCAACAGGTTGACGCCGTCGATGCAAACTAAGAAAGCGCACACAGCAGTCCCAGATCATGGTCTTTAGTAGAAGAATTTTCCGTCTTGAGCCGCGCTGAGACTGACGTCTTTTCATTGGTCAGCCGGTTACCGCGGTCGACGCAACTATTTAACAAAAAAAGAAGAGCACACACACACACACACACAGACCTCTTGGTCGAAGTTGACCGACGTCCCGTACGACACGTTCCCGGTGTCCTCGTCGATCACGGTGCTCGTGTCCACCTGCGCCTCCATGGAGCCGAGGCTGTCGATGACCTTCTCGATGTCGAAGGCGAAGGCGTCCGTGTCCACCTCGCCGTCCGCGGCACCCATCTTCACGAGGGAGGTCGCCATGAGGCGGTAGTTGTTGGTGATGAAACCGTTGCTGCTCCACCGCCCGAAAAAACACAACATGAGAGAAAAACAAAAAAAGATGCAGGCAGAAGATCAGTATATGTAGTTTCTGATCCACCGCCAGCAAAAAAATACACAAAAAATAGGGAAAAAAAAAAAACGAAAAAAGGAACAAGATAAAAAAAAGAAACGAAAAAAAGAAAATTGACGCAGCACACCATCAGCCCTGCCCGCCCAACGCGGGGCGGGTACACGTAGGCGAACGTGTCAAGCAATTCCGTTTTCTTCTCGTGTCTTTTCATTTCTCGCACTGTCCAGAGCTAACGCGGTACAGTGGTACAGTACCTGAGGTCTCTGAGGGAGGACCAGACGGTCTCCGGAATGCGCCCGACGATCCCGAAGTCGATGAAGCCCACGCGCCCGTCCTCCAGGACGAGAAGATTTCCCGCGTGGACGTCCTGCGTAGGGAGATGGGAGGTGCGCGTGTAGCCGGGGGGGGGGGGGGGG